GATGACAGCTTGGATGGTACCTAATGATTGCTAATCGCCTTGGACGACATCTGTGTCGTGCGTGCGTGCGTGCGCATGTGTCCGTGTGTGTGTGCGTGTTTATTATACTAATACTGGCGAGGCGATGACAGCTTGGATGGTACCTAATGATTGCTAATCGCCTTGGCCGACATCTGTGTCGTGCGTGCGTGCGTGCATGCGATGACAGGTTAGGTGTGCAGCATAGAGCGAGCTATCACTAACTCTTAGTTAGGCAGATGGGGTCGTTGTCGTATCAGGTACTACAGATATGTACCCGAGGTAGTTTTAGGTTGTTTAGTATTATGTTTATATTTTTATATGAGGTATGTTTAGAGTTAGGGTTAGTGTTAGGGTTAGGGTACACTTCTGTAGTACAAGTCTGGTACACTTTGTGTATACATATATGTACCTCGGGTACATATCTGTAGTACCTGATACGACAACGACCCCTTGAGCGTAAGTTAGAGATACGATTCGGTAGATAGACGCTGATATTTTCGTCTGAACACACCGTACACATGAAATGCTGCCTTGGCAGTAACCCGCAATTTGTCGTCTAAGATCGTTCGCTTGTTTTTTCTAAAAGTGAACACATTTATCTATTACTAATTCGCAGTTCTTGCCTCTATTAGTTCCTTGCTCCTTTCGTTATATTAGTTTGATCAACATCATGCGCTACCCTTCTTTGTTTCCTTTCCATAGATTTGTAAAGAGTTTTGTTTCAAGGTCATGGGGTTAAAATTATCCGAAACCTGCCACAATGAGCAACGTCCGGTCTTTTGAAATTATATAGAACGTCATTATGTAGGTCGTCTTGCAGTGAGCATTTTCACTTCATATATGTAGGCCTATATAATTCGCAGTAGTTCTGATTCATTAATGAACACACGCGAACACATTTTCCCCCCCCGTCTTCAATGACGGAATGATAAGAGAACAGTCATCGATCCGCCATTACAATGACAATAGAGCGAAGAGCCGGATGTTGGAACTCATTGTCACGTGCATTGTTCCTTACAGTGGCAGATGTTAACGAAATTGACAGACCGGCAAACTGCAGTGAGGTTGTTACCGTTGCACTATTTACTTCCAAACTACTTGCGTCGAATGGCCACCATTAGCGATATATGACCAACGGTCTGTTTTATTGCTTAAAGTTAAAGTGGGCTAATGTTACCGCTCTGGGCCTCGTACCGGCTGGAGGCACAGTTTCTTTGTGAACATTTCGTGAACTACTTCGTCATAGTTACTTTTGCTTGTCGAGACTTGGGACGTGCGGAGTTTCCTTTTCCCATTTCTTCATTTGTTTTTCCTTTCTTTTTTTCTTCCACACTTTAATGGATAAGTTTTCTTCTGCTTGCTAACTTTACGTAAGCTTGGTGAATTTAATTTCCTACTGATTACTGTTATTCATTGACTCCGAGATTCAACTGACTGTGTTTTTACCTCGTACACTGCCAAGTTCCATTTTTATTACTGACTTCCTTCCCCCTTGCGCCTACTAAGGCTGCGTTTCTCGTATTTGCCGAATATTCTCTTGAGTGGGTCTCATGTAAATATGATAGGATAATATTGATATAGATGTTTAAAACTACCTCGCTTCATGCAGCCACGAATGCACGCGGACACACGCGCGGCCACGCACGCACACACGCCTACACGCGCACACACCCAATGTATAATTGGTTCATTCCCGGTTGGCCTACTCCCATTTCGCCTACGGCAAAATTCCCAGTTGGCCTACACCCATTTCGCCTACTCCCAATTCGTCTACGCTCAAAATCTACCCAATTCCCATTTCGTCTACGATCGGTTTTTTCACTAAATAATCATTTATAAATAATAAACTATGGTTTTTATTTCCATACAATACATAGACAACAGGAACCAGAAGAAAACAGGTACACATAATGAGAACACAACTTGACAAAAATAGAAAATACAGTAGCATAATGGGAGTAGGCGAAATGGGAATATTATTATTATATTGCCGATTCTGAGAGTAGACGAAATGGGGCGTAGGCCAACTGGGATGTTACCGTATAATTGTGCAGTATAACGCTTAAGATCCAGTTTCCAGCCACGAGACGTTGAATTGCTACGTACCATTACGTTAAATGTCAAATGATGTAGATTTTATCGTATATATTTTGAGCGAACGTGACGTGTTTATACAGCGGCGATTTGTACGTACGGCGAGCATACCCTCTGGCGAGCATATCTGTAAACGTAGTCACAGGGATATGTACGATGATACAAACGGAAGAAGATGCCGATGAGTATGCGTAGCATAGCGAGGGCATCCTCCCGTGCAGGCCTCTCATACAACTGCTCTTACTAACTAGTCTATCTTATACGCAATGAGCTGGCTTCTTTTCTTTTGCCTCGCTCCCTCACCCCTCTCACATACTAACTATTCCTCGTCCTCCTCCTTGTCCTCCTCCTCCTTCTCCTTCTCCTTCTCCTTCTTCTCCTTCTCCTCCTTCTTCTTCTCCTCTTCGTCTCTCTATTCCCTCTTCTGTCCTGTTCAGTCTCTCTCTCTTTCTTTCTTTCTCTCTCTCTCTCTCTCTCTCTCTCTCTCTCTCTCTCTCTCTCTCTCTCTCTCTCTCTCTCTCTCTCTCTCTCTCTCTCTCTCTCTCTCTCTCTCTCTCTCTCTCTCTCTCTCTCTCTCTCTCTCTCTCT